AGTCAAATGCAGGGCTCCAACTGAGTCCTAACTAGTGCCAGCTTTCCCTTTCTTGCAATGAGAGGCTGGAACTCTGCCCCTAGAAGCCCAGTTCCTTTCCATTCCTCCCCCAAGCAGGCTCATCTTCTGCTTCCCTCAATGCCACTCCTACTCATGAACTCTATCTAGGTTGCTCACAAGAGAGAAGTTCATGCTTCACTGCCCATTCTACAGGTCAAGCAGACCTGCCACCTAGGAAATGCCCTGTGATCACCTGGTTCCAACAGCCAGGGTCTGGCCACCCTATAAATAACGTCCCAATCAGATCTGCCCCAACAAGGGAGCATGCCTCAGAGGCACACTACTTTCCAAGACCCAACCCCTCCTATGCAGCCCCTTTCCCCACCTCCTGCTTACCCGAATGTTGTCATCATTGTTGTTGGTCCGTTCCCCTTTCCAAGTCAGGCAGAGGCTAAAGATAGGCGGCATAGAGGAGTAGCCGGGGTTCAGCACAACAGCTGCCTGGAGTTTGGCTGTGGCAGGAAAGAGAAGAGAGGTTTACATGAAGCTCATGTTGTCCATGCACCACTCAAGACATTTCCCTTGGTTAGATCTCACAGGCAGTGGACAGCAGTCAACCAGCACACCTCTCCTTCCTCAGCCCCGTGTCACCGTCTCATCACATCCAAACTGCAGCCAAGCAATGCTGCCACACTGTGAAACCTGGGCTGTAACCCCTACCCCCAATCACTGCAGAGCAACAACCCAGGATGGACACATGAGCAAGAAGCTCTGGGGCACTCACTGGTTGTGCTGCTTCCCTCCCCGAGGGTCACTAATACCATCTTAGCCTTTTGGGTCACCTATACACATATGTGGAGGTTGCTCCGATGCACTGGAATTCCAGAGCATCGGAGCACTCGATTACTTGAGTCTGCTGGAGCATGGCAATTGCCACATTCCAGCAGCCTCCTGCGTCTTGCATATCAGCACCCCTGAACTTAAAAATGGTAGCGGGGCACTTGAACTAAAGCTCATTGAACAAGCTTCAGTTCAAGCACCCCCACTGCCATTTTTAAGCACAGGGACACCGATGTACACAAGATGCAGCAGCACTTCAATTAAAGCAGCTGTTGGAGGCACTCTAATTAAAGTGCCACCCCTCCACACCCCCAGAGCAAATGTAAAAGTGCCCTTGGTGATGGGCAGCCCCCTCCTCAGGGGGCCTGCCATGCTGTGGAAAGATTGGTTAGAAGGAGCCACTGTCTTGATTCTGGTTATGGCTTACGATGACACTGGGGAGGGCTGAGGTGTCACTCACTGGCAACGGAGAACGCAGGCAGGCACCTACCTGTCCCCCTTTCTATCAGCGCCATGTAATAAAGGTGGGTGTCTTCAGCCAAGCCAGCCTCCACGATGTCTTTGGTGTAAGACAGCTCCTGCAAGGGGAGAAGCACCCAAGGGGCTGAGCGAAGCAGGGTGCTCAGAGCAAGGGAGCCAAGGACAGGGACAAGGTGCTGGGAATGGGGAGAGGAAGTCAGCTCCTTGCCCTCTACACCCACCAGGTAATCTTCATAGGTGATTGCCGTCCACTTCACCAGGCGTGACACAACCTTGGCAGGGAAGAGCTGCTGGCACTCGCTGGAGACTGGCACAATGCCATGTTCTGAAAGCAAGTGACAAGCCAGCAATGACCTATGTGCAGGCAGGATCCAGCCCAACTAACATTCTTACCAGGGCAACAGGAACAGAATGTGGATGGCGGTGGGTTGAGCACCAGAAAAAAACTGGGTTCCACAGGCCTTTGTCTGTCAATACCTATGCTGACAGTGACTTGGCTGGGCTGAGATCACATCAGGTCTCACAAACTGGGTGGTGGTGGGTGAGGTGATGGGGAAGCCTAGCATGCTTCAGGAAGCTATTTTGAAGTGATTCCTAGCACAGTGGTAGAAGAGAGAAAATAAAGACTGGGAGAGCTGGTCCAGGTATGGTGCGAGTCAGTTGGAGTACAGCTTGCCTCTTGACCCAGCAGAAAAGCACAGTAGCACTGTGGCTGCCAAGTCTTTACTACTGGCCATAGTGTCGAAGACAGTAAGATCATCTGGAGTTTCTGAAGGCAGGTAAGGATTGCAGCACTGGCCAATTAAGACAAATCTGCTGCAGGTACTTGGTCTGGCTGCTGAAAGGGGAGTAAGTACAGTGCTGTTTGTATAGAGGCACAGGAAATAGCTCCCCACAAGCGCAGAAGAGAAGAGGAGACATTCACCGTCTGAGGGAAGAAGAGCAGCTGCAGGAATGCAGACCCTGACTTTCCTCCTCTAAAAGCAGGAGCTTCAGAATAAAGCATTGCATGGTGGGGGCAGGGAATGGTGGCAGCATAGGAATGAACAGACAGGGAACCCCTTAAAGGAGACACCATATTGTTGCCTCCCCAAAACCTCATCCAAACAGCTGTCCCTGTTTTCACAGGGAAAGTCCTGGGTTGGAGTGGGGGTACCAGGAGGAGGGAGACGCAGGCAGGCTGGGACATCCTCACCTAGTGAAGCAAACTGTTTGTGGAGAGCCAGCCGGGACTGCAGCCTTGTCCGGAGCAACTTCATGGTCATCTCCATGTGGCTTGCACTCAGGGAGTTATCTGCAGTCACTGTGTGCTGCAGAGGGAAGGGACCATTATATGCAGGTATTCCCTACTGCCCACCCCCCTACTCACGCAGAGAAGTTGACAGCTGTGCTTGAATCCCTTGAGCATTATACTGCACATGCCTGGCAATACCTAGCCTCCTCTGGAAGGAAGAGCTTAAAACATAGCTCCCCTTTTCTCTGGAATGACTCTGACCCCTTCAACTTAGTTGCCTGAATTGTGCACATACGAATCAGGCTGAGATTTAGCTCCCACGAAGCTAATGAGCCTGGGCCATGGCAGAAGCACATCATCAATCCCCCTTCCCCATTCATGTCCCCTAAAGGGCAGACGTGATCATCAGTGATGCTGCAGTAGCCAGCAAATGCCATTGCACCCTGGCTTTGGATCTTAAAAGAATGACAACCCCTGGCTCAGGCAAGAGCACTGCTGCAGGGACAGCCAAGGGAAGATAGCCTGGCAAGACTTCAGCAGCTGGAGAGCTAGAGCTTTGGACATACCTGTGGCTGGTCTTTGGGGAAATGCAAGCCTCCCAGCTTCTGCACCCAGACATAGGGGTGCCCCAGCTCTGTCACATAGTCATTCAAAGTCAGGATGCTTCAGAGACAAAGTGGAAATATTACTCAAGCATGGTGAAAAAGAAGCACTACCCCACCCCCTCCAACCCCCTTGTGTGCAAGCCAGAGCTGCTGGGCCTGAAGATGTTCATCTGAACATCGGCAGCAGCCCCTTCCCTTAACGCCCTCCTATCCATGGTAGGATACAGAGTTCCCAGTGATGCAAGGTACCCACCAATCATTGAGATGGTGCCCTCAAAGCCAGGACCAAGGTGTTTGTGCACCTTGAATCCCAGGCAATTGAGCTCATTTCCCAACTAAGAAAAGTTTATAAGATAGCCACTATCTTGCCCAGCTGGGCTGGAGAGAAGCAGCCCAGAGCCTGCCACTTAGCCTAACTACTCTCTTTCACTAGGCAAGCAGGTCCTTAGAATAGACTCTGATCTGCACTCCAGATGGGCAGCACACCATAAGAAACAGCTGCCAACACACCAGAATCCTGCTCTAGGCTGCACTGTCTTGACAAGCTTCTGCTGGTGGCACTGGGTAGGACGGAAGGGACAGAGACTGGGCCAACTTACCCAACTTTGTCAAACTGGAACTGGTTGGCTGGGTTAGGAGTCTTCTTCCCATGATCCCCAGGATACAGGCAATTCAGAAGGGAATCCGGGGACAGGAGGTCTCTGCCAGAGGGCAAAGGGTAGAGTTAGCCATGCACTTTTCCAGGGCCAGAGTTCTTCAGCATTATGAACAGTTTTGTATGGCCAGGGATTATGAACACTACAAGCAGGTCCCAGGATCACTAGATTTACTTCTTGCGAAAGCTTTCACTGAACACAGATGGTGGAGGCTGTTTCTACCTCCAGCTCTTGCGGCTGTAAATAACATAACCTAATTGAAGGCTGCCCAACTTCTAACCAGTTGGGGTCCACCACAAGCCATGCAGGCCACATCAGCAAGGGCCACATGCCGTAAGAGTGCCCCTGCCCCCACCCTCAGTCCCCCAGCTGCAGGCTCCCCTAGCATTGCAGACTGTGCCTGAGCTGTCATGCCCCATATCTGGGGCAGAAGCAGGAAGTAGAAGCTGGTGGAGGGAGGGGGAGCCCAGGGACCCTAGCTTCTGCATCCAGAGTAAGGGGGAAGCAGCAGCCTGGGGGGAGCCCAGGGGCCAGCATCTGGACAACCCTGACATAAATGTACCTGATGCATGAATTCCTGAGTTGGCAGAGACTCAGGAACAGCTGGGATGTATGAGCCACAGCCGGGGGTGCTACCTTGAGAACCCAATACAGGCAGTCCTCGACTGTATTTACAGCACTTGAGTTATGATGAACAGCACTTACGACATCTATAAACTGACACCCTGTTTCTACTTTCCGATGACGGTTTCGACTTTATGACACTTAGCTGGACACGGAGCAGTGGGGGCGAGGTGATGGCCAGACAGAGAGTGGGGGGCTTGCAAGCAGAGGTGACACGGGGTGGTGGGTGGCAGCGGCGGTCACACAGCTGGTCGCACGTGCGGCTCCACAGGCTGCTGACAGGCCTCGCACCCAGCCAATCATGTGTCACTCGTCAGCAGCCCACAGAACTGGATGTGCAGCCAGCCATGTGAAAGTGGTATGCAGCAGCACGAGGTGGTGGATGACAGCAGTGGCCGCCATGTGTGATAAACAGGGTATTGGGCCTTGGTTCAGGAACCAAACCCCCATTAATAATATTGTTCTTATGGGAAAAAAAAAAAATCGGTTCCAAGTTACAACATTTTGACTTAAGATATGGTTTTCAGGAACCAATTGTGTCCTAAGTCCGAGGCTTGCCTATACTGCAAATCGGTGGCGTTCTGAACACAGACCACAGCCATGATACAAATTAAACAGGACTTAAGAGCCCAACAAACCCAGAGCTGCCTGCATGGATCTCACTGCTTATTCTTATATCAAATTAAGTAAAACCTGTCTGTATAAAAGCTGTCTTAACTTGGCCACAACCTCCACCAAGCATCAAGGAACCTTGCTGCAAGACTGAGCAGTCAAAAAACAGTGGCTGGGGGGGGGAGGAGAAATGAAGTGCCCCATTTGGAAGAGACTGTAGTCAGACCCCCATCGACTCACTGCAACACAGGAAAGGTTTGCCTCAAAGGGGATCCGCTCAGTAGGGAGTCAGCCACTGCCAATGTCCATGGCCAAAACGAAGGTCATGGTAGTGGGTGCAAACATGCTAGCCCCTCATCTGCCATCCCATCCAAGGAGCTCTCAGCACCCAGACCAAGCAGCTGGGCAGATGGAGATTTTCAGCTGAATTAACATCCAGGGCAGGCTTCTGCAACTGCAGTTCCGGCCACATTCTTTCACTAATCAAGCTGAAGTAGTCTCAGGGGAATTCCCCAGAGCTAAGGCCTTATCTACAGCACTTGAGACAAGGTGACCTGCAGAGCAAGGAAGTGGAGCGGGAGCAGCAAGCACAGGCCTGGGGATGGGAAGAAAGCTATTCAGCTGCAAGATTGTATCTGCACTCCTCCCAGTGGGAGACCTGAGCACTGTGGCAATTGCAGCAGATGCACCCCACACACCAGGAGGCCATTCAGCTCCCAACACATGCCGGCTGTTCTCTCAATCAAACCTCAGGGAATCTCTCCCTTTAACCCCAGCTCCTCTCCCTTCCTGCAGAGGATAAATCAGGGATTAAGAAAGGATTCTGCCTCTTGTCCTGAAAGCTCAAGGACCGTGGGGAGGAGTGCAGCTCAGCAAGCAGCTGCGTCACCATTGTGGCTGCCTCGCACAGCCTGGTTGGGACAGGTCCTGGTTGCTGAGGGAAAAAATGCTGTGTGGGCAAAGGGACCAATTGCCTCCTTTGGGAAGATCTGGAAGTCTGCAGTTCCCCCTGCTGGTAAACTGGGGGAAGTAGAGCTGCTTCCTTCTCCCATCTGATCAAGGACAGGCTGAGATGGGGTATAGAGCAACCATCTACAGCAGGGGCGGGCAATTACTTTGGGCAGAGGGCTGCTTACAGAGTTTTGGCAAGCCATCAAGGGCCGTATGACAGGCAGTCAAGGGCAGATAAATATTAAATTTTCTAAAATTTTTAGGGGCCTGGAGGGCCGGATAGAATGGCCTGGTGGGCTGCATCTGGCCCCTTGGCCACATTTTGCCCACCCCTGATCTACAGGCTCTTCCAGGTTCCTCTACTCAGGGCAGAAGCATTAGTTTGGTATAGAGCATCACAGAACCATAGGCTTGGAGAGAACTCAAGAGTGACCCTAAGCCATCTCAGACAGATACCTATGCAAGTAGCTAGCAACTGCTTCTCCAAGGGAGAGTCAGGGAAACAGAGGTTCCCTCTAAACACTGGAGGTGCTGCTCTGCACAGGCAGGAGGAAGGAATAACAATTCAGCTCAGCCTAGGTCCTGTGAAACATGTCCCATGAGACACATTCACACCCTTTTGCCCTGGCTCCTCCACAGCTCTGCCAGCCAGTTGCTCCAAGTGAAACACTGTAAAGCAGCAGCATTTTCCTGGCAAGAGATCAATGCCAGACAATAATTCCAGCCACAGTACAAGGGCCAAGACAGACTGGGTTCTGTGCTCTGCAGTGTTCTCAGCTTACCCAGCGCTGATGGGCGTAGTCATCTCCACAGCAGTAGTCACCTTGGTTTTCACAGTCATGACATTGAGGTTCATTAGGTAATAGAAGGTCAGGTGCAGCACACTCTCATCTGCACAGAAACAGAAGTGGTGGAATGCTGCCTTTTCTCCCTGTGCCCAGCCCCAGCTGTGTTGGGGAGAAGGAGCAGGGCAGAGGAGAAAGCCCTTCAACGAAAGTGGAAGCTCCATTAGGGTTTTTGCTGGTTCACCCACGCTTTGCGATTCTCCTAATGGAGGGACTTAGGATGTGGACACAAACAATTCTATTGCTTGTGAAGAGATGGGGAGACTTGCCAACAGATGATTTGTTGCAGTCATCTGCCCCTTCTTGCAGTAAGTCAAGCAGAACTGCACTGATCCGCCTCTGAATTAAATAGGCAGCAACTTACTGGAGTTTACCATATTTTCTTGCATACAACATGACCTGGAATAGAATGCACACTTTGTTTCTGAAAGGTACAACGAAGGAAAAAAAAAGATCTTTCCTTGTACGAATGAGTAGCAGCAGCTAGGGAGCTGAGGCTGCCCACTGTTCTGATCCCTGTGGGTTGCAGCAGATTTTACTTTTGGTTTCCCCTGGTAAGCAGCAGAACCCACTCTGACTATTTTTCACGTATAGCATGTACTCCAATTTCCAGCAGCTGGTTTTTGGAAAAAGGTGCATGTTGTATATGAGAAAATGCAGTGGTTTCCACTTACTGTGAAAGAGACCCAGGGTGAAGCAGTTACAGCTGATCTATTAGCCCCCCCTACTTTAAAACTTCAGACTTGTCTGGTCTTAGACACTGACACTACTGGTGTGAAAACAAGGGAAGTGATAATCAAAGATGTTGGTCTGATTGTTCTCCTTCACTTATCAGGAATAGTTGGGCTCACTCTCAGCAGGGCTACCATCAAGACCACTGTTCACTCCTACAGGGGACACTAATGCAGCTTGTGCAACTGGGCATACAGCAAGTCTGCATTTCCACTGGAAACATGACACCTCTATCGAGTTCTAGCTCTGGGACCAGATTCTGAATTTGCATCCGCTAACGTAAGCCTAGAGTGGCTCAGCTGAGGTCAGCCAGTGGGCTTACACCTGGATCAGAACCTGACCTGGGGAACCACCATCCTTGTACCTTTGCACTTCAGGTCAATGGTGACAGACAGCGGGTGTCTCTTCAGCATTTCCTTGCGCTTGTCATCCAGCTGCACTCCCAGCGTGGGCCGGCGGCGCTTCTGCAGTAAGGGAAAGAAGTACCACAGCTTCTGAGAACATGGGTCCCTCTCACCCCCTTGCCCCACTGCACCTCTTCCAGGCAGGCTTATGGGGGAAACTTCTCTGTCTGACACACAAAACGCTACTCACCAAATACATTGTACCCAATCCACACAACACTCCAGTGTGCTATTTAGTGCAGTGTCACTCCCCACTTTTCAGATGGGGAGACTGAGGCATGTAAATTAAGAGACTTGCACGTGATTAAAGAAGGGACTTGTGTCAGACCTTGGAACACCTGGTGCCTGCCCCTCCTGTCAGATCACTAGCTCTTGATCTACTCCTAACCATCTGACTTTCCACATCCCACTTACATGTGCACCTAGAGGAGGGATGTTAAGCATACCGCCTGCAGAACCAATTTGTCCAGCCCACCAGCAGTCCAATGGAATACCAGAAGTTGGGGAGTGGCCTGTCACAGAATTCAGGGTTTCTGAATCCCAATGGACATGGCCATTGGCATCAGGCCCTTGGCCCCAAGCTGGTGCTCAAACATGGCCCCACTACAGTTGCTGGTGGCCCCACAAATCCTGCCCAGGGAAAGCCCCTGTAGTCTAGATCCAACCTGGGGCCTGGGGTGAATTTGATACCACTGCTCTAAAGCTCTTGAGGACCTGAATCTCAGCGAAGTCACCTATGGATGATGCAGATCCTGTACAGCAAGTAAAAAGTTTCCAATGTTAGCCAGAGAAACAAACATGTCACAACTACTAGGCTCACAGACTGCATCTTTCCTTTCCTCTCTCTGGGCCAGTGACTATTTTTATAAAATGGAATGGTTCCAAGAGAAGAGACTGAGACCAACACTATAGGCAGATGGCTACAGCACTCCCCTAGCCTGTAGGAAATTGAGTTGAAGTCCCTGCTAGGGCGTATTTGGGGAAAGAACTTGAAAGCAGAGTCTCCTGTCTCCCAGAAAAATAGCCTTACTCCTAGCTTATTGGCTGTTCTGCAGCAGGTCTCTCTTCTGCTCTCATTTGGCCATAAAGTGTTTATAAAGGGCTTAGTTTCACCCTGCACTGGAACAAATGCAAATTTCAAATCCTGGAGATTTTCCCCATTGGGAACAGCTGCTCCCTAGCCAGCTCTGTGCACACCTGTGTCGTCCCAAAACATCCACAGAGCCACTCACACAAGACCTTCATATTTCCAAGGCACTAATGGCAATTCAGTGCGAAGTTCTCATTGCAATTGAAAACAGGCCCCTTAAAGGACTCTGCAAGCACTGATCCTCCTTCAGTCCCCTTTAGGAGGCATTACTGAATGCTGCGAAGGTAGATATTCAAGCACAGAGAGGTGACTCTGCCAAGGCCCCCACAGCAGATTGGTGGCAGTGTCAGAAACAGCCAGTGCCAGCTCAGACCCACTCACTCTGGGCACTGGTGGAAACAGCACTTGGTTCAGTCCCATGAAGCAATATTTAGTGTACATCCCAGAGTATCAGAGTTGAAACTGCCTTACCGTGGTCTGCTCCTCCTCGGCGTCAGAGTCACTTTCATCATCTGCAAGTTCAAACAGAGGGATAAGCAAGGGCCACAACAAGACACCTTGCTGGGGTCGTTTGACCCCAGTGCTCTTTCCTGCCATGGCAGAGGGTCGGACTTGATGATCTGTCAAGGTCCCTTCCGACCCTACAAACTATGAAACTATGAAGATACTCTCCAAGTAGCGCAGCTCAGTGCATTTCCAACAGAGATACCAAGGTATGGAGTGCATCAGGGCCACTGCCAGTGCCCACCAACCCCTGCACTACAGTGCTAAGTCCTCGAGGCATCAGCACCATCCACTGAGAGAATGCTGGTCCTTCACAGGGGTACTCAGGCAAGAGACTCCCAGAGGGTCTTGGTAGGCTGTCAGCCCTTTTAAAGCCATTTGAAAATCTCTTTGTTCTCAAGTACTCCCCCACAAACCACTAGGATGGAGAGGCCTGTGTTAACAGCCCCCAAGCTGAATGCCATGCTGCTTGCTGAGCTGTCAGTCTCTCTTCTAGAGAATGACTCTAGCATAATGAAGGTGCCCAAGTGTCAAGACTGCCTAGGCAGTCAGCATGCAGAGAGAGATTATCAGCCCCTCCCAAGGAACCCTCCCTGTCCCCCTGCCCCTCCCACTTTTATCAGTTGACTGCCTGCCAGACAAAGCAAGGCAAGGCAAGGCAAGGCAGAACTGACTTGTGATGTACCTTGGGAATCCTCTGGAGGTTTGTAGAGGGCTTTGGCTTCTTCCACACTCCCTTCAATCGCTACAGACAGCTTCTTATCTGATGAGGGAAGATTGTCATTAACCCTGCCCCAAGGTGGGAAAGCCAGCTAGCCAGCCAAAGTGAGCACTGACACTGCAGAGGTATTGAGGTTGGAAAGGGGGAGGTAGACAGGGTGCTAAGAGGTTATCAATTTATTACCGTGGCCCCCTCGTCACTTCATGGCTGGTAGATTCAATGCCTTGGGGACAAATAACCTTAACCTTCAGGGTCACTTGTAAAGTTATGCTACTGAGATGCGACTCCTACACTGGCTAGCAGGCTGCAGGACTACAGCAAGAGCACACCCTTGGCCCAATATTTCATGCTCTTCTCCATAGTAATGATGACACTGGCCACCATGCAAAACAATGGTGTTTCAGACCCAGGGCAGGGGAGTAATTCTTCAACCATATTGGTTCACATGGTTAAAGCCCTCATCTAAACTGCATAGACTAAAAGTAGGCATGTACTTCACCAAGGGGTAAAATGCTAGGTGGGATGTGGTACCATCTTAAAGGATTTTGTGCAACACAGCACCTTATCTAGGTGTTTCTGCCAGGCTCCCCCTATAATAGTAAGCAAGTGCATTGGGCTAAGGAATCTGAAATGAGTAGGTCAAGAAAAGAAAAAGTGGAGAACAGAGCTGGTCCCAACAGGATTGAGCATGTTCATCTCCCTGCATTCTGCACTCAGAACAAGGGAGGGAAATTCAGAAGGCTGGACTGGTTTGGCTAGACTGCCAGACTTGCTGTCCACGGATGCTGCTGAGGCCCAGAATTTAATGACGGTCAGAAAGGGACAAGAATATAGGTAACAGAACCAGCCAGAGTTGGAGAATAAAGTAGCAGCAGTTTTGGAAGGGAGATAGAGCCCATTGCTCTTGGACTCAGGCCAATCCCCAGCTGTTAGGGATCAGGATGAGACCCAAATGGTGGGAGGGGGAAGGGGCTGGCTGGGCTCTTGCAGCTCCCCTGGGACATCTGAAACTGGCCAGTGGCAGAGACAGGAGACTGGGCTACACAGACACCAGCTCGGATGCATTCTGATAAGGTCTTGGGAGTCTCAGCACCTCAGAGACTCTATCATAGGGTCCCTCAGGGCACTCATTGCTATGATAACCAAGCACTGCAGAGAAGACTCAAGGGAATTCCATGAAGGGGCCTCTCTGGGCTCCAAAATACTCTGCCAGGGAATGGGAGAAGAGTTTTTTATTTTAATATAAGCCGTTTGGGTCTAATGGAGCAGCCCCATCCCCACCAGGCTCCTGCAGGGCTTAGACACAAGAAATGAAAGGTACTCACCCCGCCTAAGGGGCTGGGAGGAGGGTTTCATGTGAGCTAAGGGGACAGGCCGGAAAAAGGGACGGAAAGGAGGGAGGGAGAAAAGGAAGAAGAGAGGGGACAAAAGGGAGAAAGACAGAACAAAAGAGGCAGTAACACACTGCTGTGTATTGAGAGGCAAACAGCGGTTAGACAGGCTACAGTTTTGCCAAGTAAGGGGTGGGGGTTATCCTGGGCTGCCAGTGCAGGAGCTTGGACTGAAGCCCAAAGAGAATGGGGTCTTGCCTTCTTGCTGCATAGGTGCAACAAAAAGGATGAAATCCATAGCACCCCCTGGCTCCATCTTAGGCGACCGCTGCACCTAGCAGTTGTTTTTGACTTTGCTTTACTTTGGGAACCATGAAGAGTTAACACCTCTCCCCTCCCCCAATGTGGGCCCAAGATTAACAGTCCTGAACAGTCCTGCCAAAGGGCAGAAGATCCCAGTGCTAATCCCCCCAGGGCAGGGGAGACTACCAGCTATTTAAAATGGAATGGCATTCTGTAACTGGGATGTTTGCCCTCACTGCTGTAACAACCACAACCTCATGCAAGCTTGAGGGGGGACACCAGCAAATGGAGTGGCAGATCTGGAATGAACTCTCATGGCAATTCCTTCAAGTCAGGCACTGGAGGGACTCTCCTGAACAGCCAAACCAACAAAACTTCAGCAACACAGTACTTTCTGCAGACATCAGGGAAACGACGGGGGGGGTGCACTCTGCCCACCCCCTTAGACTGCTGGCTTTCAATGACTTATACGAAGGTTGCTTCAGACCTCCCAGCATGCTCCCCCCAAGAATCTAATGTCAGTACTCACCACAGGCCTGGCCATAGGCATTGGCTTGGACAAAGAGAACATACAGAGGTGGTGGCAAATGTCTAGCTGTCTCGTACTGCTTGTGTGCCTGGTCAAATGGCATGAAGAGGTACTCCTGGACAGGGAGGGAGGCCTGGTGGGGGACAAGGCAAACACATGGCATTGGTACTAAAGTAGTGTGCACATTGGCCACTCACCCAGCACCTCCTGTCTGTGGAACAGGACCTGCAGAACAGACACTGTGCCACTCAGCAGCAGCAAATGAGCAGTGCTGACAGCCTAAGGGAAACTTGGGGCAAGCCTCCTTCACTAGATAACTGGTTTCAAAGAAAAAAGATAACCCAGCTCCTTCTCTTGCTCCCCCCAAACAAGTCAAGGTAATGTTCTTACACACTGCTCTCCAGAAAAGGGCCCATTTAATGAACCCGTTGCAAACGCTGCTGACACAAGGGAGACTCAAAGAAAAGTCCTCACCTAGAAGGACAGGCAACATAGCCAAGAGCAGACATGACTCTTCTCAGCAGCCTCAATTCACCTTTCAGGTTTTCTTCTAAGTGAGCTACCTCCATTAATTGTGTGTTTTGGAACAGGACAGCCCAATGTGCTCCGACACACCCTAGATTCTCTGCAAGTGGCCCAACCCTCACAGACAAAGCAGAGGGTGAAATTTGGCTCAGGGAGTACCTGCATGATGCTGTTCAGCCGAGGTTGGAGGCTACTCAGATATTCCTTCTTCACCTCAATCTCCTTCAGGATTTTCTCCTTGCTGGTTAGACATTCCTTATACTTTTCTGCCAGCCTGCAAGGGGGGGAAGTTCAGTTAGTGACACACCGCATTCACGATGAGAACAGATGTTAGCTGAGAATGTTTGCTCCTTATCAGTGCATTACTAAACCTTGACACCTCGTCTGATTCCACTGCCACTGGTTCCTGGATTGTGATAGCTCAATCTGTACTCTGAAGTTAGCTTTAGATCCTGCTTCAATCATTACCTGACCTCAACTGTCACATCTAAAGTGACAAAATAAAGAAAAAGGTCTATTTATTTTTTTAAGTCAGGGGTAAAAGGGAAGGCAGGAAAAACCTGAGTACATCAGGAAAATAAAACTGAAGAAAAATTGCCTCAAATCTAAGGAGCATAGAATGTCATTTAACAAACACTGCAACACAGTCCAAGTGCGGGTCTACTCTGAGAAGTATCTTATAAATTGGCCCTCCTTACTTACCAAGCTTGCTCCAATACCAGCGTCACATCTGTTGACTTCATTGACAAAAATCCCTACTGCCTTATAGCTTCTGCTAGTCCTAATGAGCCAAAACAATTCCTCAAGACACTTTTCCATCTTGTGCCCTCATTAAAATTGAGTCTGTTATTTTAAATTAAGCACAGATTAGTGATCCATTTGCAAACCAACAGAAGACAGTGAGGTTTTACAGATCACGGAGAACCTTGTCTGGCCCATGGAACCGTTCATGTGGACTATGACAAGTAAGATGGAGAGAGACCTGCTCCAGACTTAGAGTCCAGGACTCATAGCCTTTAAGCAAAATATTAATGGTCATCTGAAGCGTGGGAGACCTGAACACTGGAATATGTTGATGTAGTGTCACTGTGGTCCTGGGTGGGACAACTGCAGCTTAGATGCTTCATCCTCCTTGGTTGGAGACTCTGCCTTCCACGATGTACTCAACTCCCCTGGAGTGAAGGAGGGCCTGAATCACAGCAGTCCCATGGATACAGCAACTAGTGGATCCCATGGATGGAATAATGGTCTCACATTGCAGCAAGGGAAATTTAGGTTAGATATGAAAATTCTCTCGTGAGGAGGGCAGTAAAGCCCTGGAACAGACTACCCAGAGGATGTGGAATCTCCATCCTTGGAGATTTTTAAGACCCGGCTAGACAAAGCCTCGGTTGGGATGATATAGTTGGCAATGGTCCTGCTTTGACCAGGGGGTTGGACGAGATGACTTCTCAAGGTCCCTTCCAATTATAATTTTCAATGGTTTTACTATTCTAATTCAGAATCAAAGTATTTTGATATTTAAGCAGTTTTGAACACTCCCACCCCTACCCCTTCAAATGCCTGTGGAAAGCAGGAACTTTTCAGGAGAAAAAAATATAATTGGGTAAAAACCCAACTTTCCATTAAAAACAGCTTCAACTGAAAACCCTCAACCCTGTCTAATGAGGCTGTTTGAAATGGAACCAGTGAGACAAAGGCAGATGCTCATAATGTTGTGTTTATGGAGGTACCTTTCAGAGAAGAGTCTGGCTTGTAAAGGCAGTGTTATAAATCTGCTGTAGTCAGAAATACCATGCAGGATGCCAGGGGTAGGTGCAATTGCTCAGCTGGACTTAGGAACAGAACCACTATGAAGCTGCCTTTGTGAAGGGTTATGGAGTAAAGAGCCACTACTAAGCTGGTTCAAGAGCCACCATCCCATGTCACTAGATCTGTCAAGTTAGGGGAAAGACACCACAAACACTATAGGCACAAGAGCTGGGATTCTCCACACTAATCAGTGATTCTGTTAGTCTGCCATTCATTTCTATGGGAAAATCTCAAGCCAGCTATTCTTTAAAAACAGCTTTTAACATGCAGAAATGTTTAAGACAAACTAAAGCGATTCTTGAGCAGGATGCAGTTGATTTAGACTTGGTAATGGCTGTGGACACGATGACATTCAAAATGACCTTTGCTCCTGCAAAGTGCTGAGTATTCTGAAGGCACCTGGAAAGGGTTTGCAGTGAGCATAGATACAAAGTCATGAGCTTGCCTGCAGTTCTTTGCCAGGCAAAGAAAGCCTCACATGCCTGATCTTTCCATCAAGATTCACTAAGAAAGGCATCAGAAAAATTACAGGAATGTGCCCAGATAGAAAGGTGTCATGCAGTTGCTACATCAACAACTTCTGGGATATGGATAGGGGTGCAGCGATAGAAATTTTGGGGGCCAATACCAATAGCCAATATTTAAGGAGGGATATCGGCCGATACCGATCTGATTCCCAATACAGCTGCGTGCAGCTGGTAAGTCTGTTGTGGGAAAAGGAGAGGGGGAGGAAAAGGGCGTGGGGAGCAGATCAACGGCCCCCGCAGTGAGGGAGGGAGTGGGGCTGGGGCAGGCACTGCCCAGCTGTGGTGGGGCAGGTGCAGGACGGAGCCATGGCTCAGCCAGAGGGCACAGGGAGGGGGCAGCAGCTCCCACTGCTGCGCACCGCTGGTCCAGGAGTGGCTCGTCCAGGAGGGCATCGGGGGGGGCGGCATATGCCCCCAGATCTACGTGGGGCGGGCTAGGAAGGCTGCAGCTGCGGGCTGGGGTCGTGCTCCCAGTGCAGTGCGGCCCCCAGCCTCAGCCCGCAGCTGCAGCCCACCTGGCCTGCCCCACGCTGTGCAGATCTGGGGGCACCCCCCCCCACCATTCTCCTGGGCTCTCCAGGCTGAGTAATGGGAGCAGCAGTATGAGCTGCTGGACGAGCCACTCCCAGACCAGTGGCACGCAGCAGCAGGAGCTGCTGACCCCCTCCCCGCATTCCCTGGACAAGCCACGGCTCTGTCCAGCACCCGCCCCGCAGTGCCTACCCCACTCTCCCATCACTGCGAGAGTGTTGATCTGCCCGCCCACCTCCTTTCCCTCCCCACTCTCCTTTCACCACACCAGACTTACCAGCTGCACGCAGCTCTCCAACCTGCTGGGCTCTGCTCCTCACTGCCTACATGGCTCGCACACACACACGGGCATTTATCAGCCAAATTAATCGGACACATCAGGCTGATTTCCGATGCATTCAATTTTTTTTATATCGGTGCCAATCCGATATTGGACTGATGTATACCTCTAGATATAAGCATAGAAGCTGAGGCACACATAACAGAGTACACTTCAATACTGACTCACTGCAACATTCCTTACTGCAAAGAATATCTCCAGGGGCACAAGACTTGAGCACCCCAGTTAGAATGCAGACTCACATATGGAAATGACAAAAATCAAGCTAATGGAATAACAGAATAGAAGGTTTTATTCTGGAATGGGACAGTTGCTAACTACATAAGTCTCTCTTGCATTTTCCAAGTAGTTCTTACGTTTCCAAAATATTACATTACTATGGGACACTTCACTGTCTACCCAGTAAAACAATGAGCTGGGTATAATATGGTTCTATTCCTCTCAAAAAGAGCAAAGGACAGGACTTGGAATACTTCTGGCTCCCTTTCACCAGAAATATAAAAGAAAATTCCATGATCTGAGAAACAGGACCAAGACAGCTCAAAGAATAAACCAGAAACTACATTACATAGTGAAAGAGAATTTAAGTGAAAAAACTTGGTCTGCATGTACTACAAAAATGAACAAAGGAAAAATATTCACCAAGTCTGAATGTGATGCTCATTTCAATTAGTAACTGACAATTTATTTTACAAGAGGATGCCTGTGGGATGTAACATATGCCAAATGCTTGGTGCCAAATAAACAAAGAGCCAATTCAATTGCTGGCCATGTGGTATAAGAGCTCACCTTTTGCGCTGTTCTAATTCCCAGTCAAGGCGGGCAAGGGTCTGGTGGTGGGGATCACTGAGGGTGATATCAGGTTTGCTTATTTCCGGGGGAGCCTCTTTGTAAAACTCCTCCACGCTCACCAGCTCAATTTCTTCGTGTTTTGATCTGGAGAAATGGAAGAGGTGTCAGTCTCACAAGAAACTTGTTTTCCAACTTTCAGACCCAATTTAAAACCTTAACAATTACAATTCCAGCTTGCAAAATGCAACACATCCTATTTCATGCATGCAGTGTGTCTGCATGGCCAATTGTCCCGTGATTTCCTGAAGTCAGTCTGGAAAGAGTCACAGGTAACTCAAAAAGCTACCTAAGGAATGTGCATGAGCAGAAGGCTCAGCTTCTGGAAGAACACTGCAGAAGCAATTCAGTTATTCATTTAAGAACAGTCCCATGTGAACTCCGTTACATCTGCATGGTTCCTATAAAAAGCCCCATTTACAAATTAAATCCAACTCTCCACTATGAACCAAAGTGTCCTTCCCACCCCCCAGCCCCACTCCCACTCCAGAGAACCAATGCAAAAACCTCCAGAATGCCCATGTCATAGCCAGATTCTAGTCCCCCACTACGGAGGCTGTAACAGGGTGATATGGCAACCCTGTTACTAAAAATACCCGGGAGTAACCCTGCTGTCCCTAAATGACCGGGAGTAACCTGGCAGGGTCAGGAACAGGGCAAGCATGGTGAATATACCGGTGCAGCTGGAGAGAAAGCATACGCTGGTAACGAATTACTTTGATTTTTGCAGGCAACCACCAAACTTTCATGGGCAAACCTGCATAAGGAGGGATAAAAGGCAGCCACTCTGAACAAGCGGCTACCCCCAGGGGCACTATGAGGACTAGAAACCCAACGCGACAGGTGGATCGTAAGTCTCCAAACGGATCCCAGCCAGGTGAGCGGACTACAGCCAGGTCCCATCTTCAAGGAGGTGAGATTCATTACTTACCGCGACTGGATAGCCCCAGGACACCGCCAGGGGAATGAAAGCCCCAAACCCTGAAGACGGGGGGGGAAAGGGTTCAAGAGTAGGCTCCAGGACTCAGGAAAGATGTCGGAAAAGCGGTGGGACACCGCTTAAAGAGACAGACACTTATTTCTTTTGTTAAAGGAGAAGGAATTGTTTAATAAAAGAATTCATGGTGACCAGCTCAGATCTCTTGGCATCTATCGTATATTTTGTGGAGGGAGGGTATTAACTCTTCTTTTCTCCCATCATGAAGTCATGGCAGGTGAATCCCTTCCCCAGAGACAAAACTGAGGGCTTGACACCACCGACCCTCCTACAACTGGTGCATTGGCTGGGAATGCGTGGAGTGAGAAACGACCCACGGATAAAATGGATTCCATGGAGATGCAAACCCAGACAGATTGGCAGCAGGCCCACATCATGAAGCCGTGCATACTTCAGGGGCAACAAGCCCAGCTAGAAGAAATGGTGAGACTACAAAGCCCAGGAGGCAGAGACTCGAATCCGCCTCTTCAACTGGCAGCAAGACCCGAGTGAAAAGATCAAGGCCAGTAGGTAATGTTCCGGGAGGGGGATGTGGAAAGGTTCCCTGAGATAAGCCCACAGGATGACCCCCAAGGCATTCTTGGAAGCCTTCGAATGCATGACTGTGGCTCTGAAGTAGGGTCCAGCTAGCTGGGCAGTTAGGATCAGGCCCCTACTGGTTGGACTGGCCCAAGCCACCTAACAGGGCTCTAACCAGAGCAGAGGCTTGGGACTACGGGAAAGTGAAAGCTGTGATACTATACCGGCTGGAGATTTCCCCTGAGACCTATCGCCAAAAATTCAGGGCCAAGAAAAAAGTAGAACTCAGACCCCACCTACTGGCCCAAAGTCTGAGAGACCTGGTAGAGTGGTGTCTCCATCCTGAGGAACGGACAATGGTGGAAATAACTGATCTTATTGTGTTAGAGCAATTCCTGGTGGATCTAGGGGACCAGACTCAGAGATGGGTCAGGAGACGCTGACTAAAGAATATGGAGGAGACACTCCGACCGGCCAAAGACTATGTGGTGGCCAAAGCCAAAGGAGATAATGTGAGGACAGAGAGAGGAACCAGGACATCCCAAGCCCTGAGACCCAAAGGAAGTCAGAGGGTAAGGAACGGGGAAACACCCTGGAACCCTACGTGTAAGGGTAGAAACTGGGATAACAAAGAACTCATTTGCTACCAGTATAGGGAGAAAGGCTATATAGCCAGGGCCTGTCCTCAAAAGGCGCTACAGGAGACATCTTCCGATTACCCCCATGAAGAACAGACGGATTGTAGCTTTGGAAGACACAAAGGCCCCTGGAGAAACAAGCCGGTGACAGAAGTCAAGATAGGGGGTACCATAATCCTCGCCATAGTAGATACAGGTTGCTTTCAGACCATGGTCTAAGCGGATTTAATACTGCCCCAAGTGGGGAGCCCTGAAACTGCCGTAAGCATGATATGTATACGTGGATCTTCCTATATGTCTAAAAGACAGTGGATGAAACTCACAGTGATGGCGGTGGATGAAACTCACCGCTGAGTTAGCAGTAGGCCTAGCTGAGACCCTGCCATGTCCCATGCTGTTAGGGGTAGACTGACCTCGTCTCAGGGGGGTGCTGGATTGGGCCATGCAGGGGCCATCAGGGGAAGACCATATCTACGAGAACCCCACTCTGCATGCTACAGAGACCCTGATGACCCCAAGGCGGGAGAGCTTGACCTAGACCAGCTCATAAATGGAGACCAATTCCAAGAAAAGCAGAAAAGAGAGCCCTTGTTTAGAAACATCCTGAGGGACCAATTGGCCAAATAAGGAGAGGTGCTGGATCCTGAGCAAGCAAGGCATATCCCCCGTTTCGAGGTAAGAGATAACATCCTATACCGGATGGAGACTGGGAGAGAAGGGACAGAACAGAGTCAGATACTCATTCCTAGAAGGTACTGGAGAGACTTGTTGAGAGTGGCTCACACTCTCCCTATGAGGGGACATCTAGGCAGAGACAAGACCAAGGCCCGATTAAAATAATGGGTTTTCTGGCTGGGGCTCTACAAGATGGTAGAGAAATACTGCCAGGAACGCCCGGCTTGCCAA